AATCACCAAAGAAGGTGTTGGAATATCAAGTGATCCTTAAAACTCAAATGAAACTCTCATTAAACATCGCAATGTGAATCTTCCAAGTGAATCTGGATTTAATTCTTTACCTCCATAGACTTTGCGCATTTTTGGTGAACGCTTTATCTCAACCTTTTTTGGAACCTTCCTTCCAAGACAAAAGCCTGGGCTTTCCAAACCCAGGGAGTAAATCAATAGATTGTTCATCATAAGCTGTTGCAAGTCTAAGAAAACCACCTGAAAGAAAGATGAAACTGCACATAAATGCAACAAAAATGTTACAAAGCAAATACAAAAATGCGAAATTCAGAATGAAAATCATCAAAACATACCTAAAATCAGTGAACTGTAGTGTAGGTTTGGTGTAAGTTTGATGTAAACTTACACTGAAACTTACACTCCATAGTGTAAGTTTAGTGTAAGTTTGGTGCAAACTTACATCAAATTTACACATCAACAGTGTAACTTTACACTAAAAGTTACATTCCTGAGTGTAAGTTTACATCAAACTTACACTTCACAGTGTAAGTTTACACTTCTGTGTGTAACTTTGATGTAAACTTACACTCCAGGTGTGTAAGTTTCAGTGTAAGTTTGCACCAAACCTACACTAAACTTACACTATGGGGTGTAAGTTTTAGTGTAAGTTTACATCAAACTTACACCAAACTTACACTCCAGTTCATTGATTTTAGGTATGTTTTGATGACTATCATTGTGAATTTTGTCTTTTTGTATTTGATTTGTAACATTTTTGTTGCATTTATGCGCAGTTTCATCGTTCTTTGACTTATCTCCTTTGCACATGGATCATCTCCTTCAGCAAGAGGTGCACTCTTCCAGTCAACTCTCTTGCAAGACTTGGAGGGCCCCAACACAGCCAACAAATCTTTTGTGGGCTGTGTCTTCAAGAAGTTGACAAAGACTGCTTGCAGCTCTCGGACCCCAACATTGGGATCAGCCACCAGTCTTTTCTGAGACACCTTGGGCCACAACACACTGGGTCAAACACATTGGAGGTGTGAAGGTCTTGTGCGCATGTGTGAACTTGCCTTTTCCGAAGTGAACAGCATCATTGCTGATGAACTACAGTGGTTCATTTACTATGATTCTTTTTGGGTGTGATTCTGTCTTTGTTGAATGAAAGCCTTGGCTGAACCTTTGAAGTGAATCTTTACTCTGATTCTTTTGTGGAATGAACCTGCCTTTGTTCTGAGTGAAAGACTAAGGTGAATCTTTTTTCTGACTGAAGCACCTCTGGCTCTGATTTTGTTTTAAAGTGAATCTGTGTGCTCCCACCCACAGTCTAAGGTGAATCAAGGTGAATCCTGTATACAGATCTTTTTTGAGAAGTGAACCTGGCTGCTCTGAGTAAAAGCACGAGGTGAATATTTAAGGTGAATATGTTATTCTGGTCAACTTGTTGAGGTGAATTTGTGTTTGTGTGTCAGGAAAATCATAAGTGAATCTTTTAGGGTGATACCTTATGTGAAGAGTGTCGTGCTTTTTGGCAAGAGCATTTTGAACAAAATAGGATCAAAAATCATTTGAAGAAAACACAAACCTTTTAGGTTAATCAATTGAACAACCTTACATTTTTAGTTTATTTGACCTTTCAAACTATTAGTTAAAACCATTGTTCTGACTAATAGTTTAATCATCTGTTTTAACTAATAGTTAAGAAACAGTATATAGACTAGTAGTTAGAAATCTGCCTAACCGAAGCTATTGGGTTGCTGCTCCTTCGAAAGTTTATAAGACAGAGGAATGGTCCATGGACGGACGGCTGGCCCCTCTCCGAAGATGAGGGGTGTCTGCATCCGTCCGCAGACGGTGATGTCCGAAGACGACAGCCGGCGCGCCCTCCTCCGAAGAAGAGGTCAACATATATCTCTGCAATCGTCCGCAGACGAGTTGCCCTCGTCCGAAGACAGGGGGTCCTGCGTCCGCAGACGCCTGCGTCCGAAGACAAGGTCGACATATCCTCCGCGGACGAGTTGCCCTCGTCCGAAGACAGGGGGTCCTGCGTCCGCAGCCGCCTGCGTCCGAAGAAAAGGTCGACATATAGTCCGCGGACGAGTTGCCCTCGTTGGAAGACAGGGGGTCCCGCGTCCGCAGGCGCCAGAGTCAGAAACGCTCCCATGGGTACGCGCGCGCGCTATATGTCTTTGTCCTTCCATCTCTATATATCTATATATAGTATATTTCTCTAAGTTGTCTAGATCATATTATATGGATATATATATGTTTGTCGCGTCTTCTCTCTCTCTCTCTTTCTCTTCTCCCTGAAAGATGCTGCGGCGCTGGCTGTCTGTCCGCCAAAGAACTGCTGGCCTCTCTCACTGGCGCGCCCAGGCCAGACGCAGAGACAACAAAAGTCTGCGAAACAAAAATATATTATATATACACACACATATATATATACACACAGACGGACGGCGCACTGGCGCTCCGCACACATGTCTCACTCCAGCTCACAAAAATGTCGCGGCCGTTCACAGCCGGGCCTCGCAGAAAGCCCGCACGCCCGCCTCCCTCAGACTCCCGCGCTCCAACGCGGCCAGCGCCGCCTTGGCGATGGTGCTCAGATGCTCCCTCTGCGCGCGCCCGTTGCCGAACTGACAAATTTGACGCTTCTCCCCGAATTTCTGCCGCACAGCCATCTTCTGTGTGGCGCTGTAGTACATGGTCGAGTACCTCTCCGTGCTCGGGTTTACGGCTCTGCCGGCGCTGCTCGCCTCCTTCAGCCCGCCTTTCTGCACTGCCGCCGGCTTCTTCTTGGCTGGCCCCGCGCCTTGGTGGGACGCGGCGGGCTTCTTCTTGGCTGGCCCCGCGCCATTGTGGGACGCGGCGGGCTTGCGCAAGCATGCTGGCGCGCCTTTCTGCGCTGCCGCCGGCTTCCTCATCACTTGTCCCTCTGACTTCTCCCCCTGCCTCCGCTCCAGCAGCGCCTGCAAGAGCGCGCGCTCGGTGTCAAAGTCCTCGTCAGACTTTTCGGCTGGAGCCTGGTACGGGACCAATTGCCGCGACTCTGCTGGCGGCTGCGTCGCTGGTGCCGCCTCGGGGCGGGCCTCCGGCGCCCTGCCTATAGGATCCGTGGCCGCGCTAGCCTGCGGCTCAGTGGCTGCGCTCGCCTGCGCCGCTGGCGCAACCGCGGCCAACGCCGTGTCCGAAGACGCCCGCGCGAGCGCGGACGGCATAGCCGCGGAGGATGGCGTCCCCAGAGCTGCTTCCGAAGGCAAGTGGCGCAGGGCGGCGCTCAGAACCAAAGCTTGGGTCACGAGCTCTGACGGCGCCTGTCCCTGCTTCGGATCCTTGGGCAGCGCGCGCCGAGCTGTGCGTCACGCGCAGCGGGATCAAGGCAGCCAAAGTCCGCAGACGTCCAAGGCGTGTCGCAGGGGACTCACGCTTGCGGATCCAGGAGCGCCAGCGCGCCTTCACGGTCGAGAGCAACTCGTGCATCTCGAAGCTACTTCGCTTCACCGAGTCGTAGCAGCAGACCAACGCAGTCAAGCAAGCGAACGTAGACTCAAAAGGCAGCCTCAGGCCCAGCTGGTAGCAACGCTCGAAAACGCGTTCCGCCTTTGCCGTGGTGGCCAAGTCCGATCGCTGAAGCTGCGCCCAGACTGCCTCGCTGAGCATATACGCTGCGCGCGTGTAGTCTTGCGCAGGTCGCCGTGCGCGCGTCTCCATGCCTCCCACCAAAATGCTCCCACAGTCTATATTTGCTTGAGCCCAACTGCCAAGACAACCCTCAAAAACTCTATCCCCATAAGTAGGATAAGTAGAAAATATGTAGAACATTGTTTTTTTCGTCATACTTACGTTGTACTTATAAGTATGCATAATTTTAAACATAACTAGCACAAGTATCTATATAACTACGATAAGTTCCAAGCCATTTTCGTAGAACTTACGCAACTTATTATGGTTATAACTAGGTTATAACTCTAGTTGTCCCATTCATAACTAAGTTATAAGTATAAAAAACACAAGGTGGGGACCCTCAACAGGCGCCGAAGCTGCTGCGGCAGCTGGTGTTGACGAAGATGCACGGGCACCTGAGTCTGGCTGAGGGTAAACACGACCCATCGTTGATGGCCTACGGAGCAGCGAGAAGCGTGCTGCGATAGGGTCGATGGGGCCTTCCGTATCTTGAACGATACGGCTGATAATTAACCAGTTGATTGGATCGCCCAACTTACGTTACGAAACGGTAGTTGGTGAAAGAAGTATGCTAAATCCCTAGCAGCCCGGGGTATGGAATCAAAGGCACGGCCGGTTTCCGAGGGACGGGAACCCGTGGCTTTGTGATGTGGAACCGAACGAGCGAAGCACGGAGGCAATCGAACGGACGGCGAAGCGAAAGGTGCAAAGCGGGACGAAAGTACGGTCAACCACCGGTCGACTCGCACGGCACCCTGAAGGAAAACCGGAAGTGGCGCCGATTTCCTTGAGCCAAATGTTGTCGCGTCGTATACACGTTTGTGTATGTTCATGTGAAACGCGACACAAAGCAATAACTGTACATGTGGAGTACTGTTTCATGTTAGGGCGTGTAGAAAAATGACTTTCCTGCGGTGATGCATATCGGCATATCGGGCGTCAGTCATCTAGTTTTGGAGCTTTCCTGCGGTCACGCATAGGGTCCGCAATCTTCCTCTTTTGGGCCGGCTTTGGTTTTCTATATGCCCTACCCCCAACAAACATGGAAGTGGAACAGCCTCTTGGAAGACTGCTTTCCTCCACCAATAGTTTTCCACTTCCATGACTGTTTTCAGGGAGGATAGATTTTTGCAAACAAATTTTCTGATGGTCTTGGTGAGGTCTTGGTCAGAAGAAGCAATGAGTGCCATAAATTGCTAATTGCATCTAATTGCTAAATGATGTGGGGGAGTTGGGGGGGACCTGTATGCACATGAAAGCATTCAATATGCAAACCCATCCAAGCGAATTTCAAGATTCCAGTGCGCCCTCTCCTGTTCCAAGTTTTTCGCAGCACAGCGGTAGCTGCGCCTTTGTGAGCTCCAACCTTGCTTGGGAGATGGACTATACAAGAAGTTGCAACAGCAAGTCCAGGAAAGTGTGCTCCAGCAAGCTCTGAGCTCTTAAAAATTCGGTAGCGAAGCAAAAAAGGCCAGGATGAATAATGTGATCAAGGGCCAGAAAGGAACCAACATATTGGTCGCAATCGGAGATGGGAAATAAATCGCAGGCCAACATCACTGAATGAGAGAAAAATAGATACAAATTGTCCATAGCATAATATAATAGCAACCTTTTATTCCAGCTAAAGGCCGCGGCTCAGCCGAAGCTCAGAACAAAATGACCGCGCCAGGAATGGGAGCTGTAAAAGTACTATATAAAACTATCATATAAAGGTTGGTTTGCCAACCACATCAATGACAACAAACCTATTCGGGCCCCTTCTTGACAAAAACCACTCCAAAGCCAGTTTCGTTGTTTCAGATGTACCCCTGGGCAAACATAAGAGAAAACCACCCTACTGCAACGCAAATTCAATCCCGACGCACTATCAAAGTAAATCCAAAGCACGCGCGAATTGGTCTCACAAAATTTTGGGATGATGCGATTTCAGCAAGTCTGGTGGTGTGATGCGTTGGTTTTTATATATTTTGTGGGGAAACATGAGCTATTTATGTTCATGCAATGAGGATCGTATGACTACAGTATTTATTGCTTACAGCAGTCTTTACTTGGTCCGGAGTGCGGAAGGTCCCACCGGCTCCCAACCACGTGAACAACATAGTTGAAGCAAGCAGCTCAAGACCTTAAAAGGAATGGCGACTCTTTTCTCCTTCGAAGCCTTGCCATCTTGCTTGGCCTCGCCAAAGTTCACCTTTGCCCTCCGCTGTGATTGGCCTGCCAGCCCATGTCTAGTGCAAGTCCATGCAATTTACGCTCTTCGCAGCTCGACATAGCCCAAGTGGTCCACTCAAATCCACATAGTCTTTTATCTCTCTGTCACACGTGTGTGCTCGGCGGCCTGATTTTCTGGCTTTCAACGGAGTGAAATTCATACCCTTCCGTGACTCACTCCTTGGAATTGAAGGCGCGACTCACTGAAAAACGCTCTGCGTTCGCCAAAACATGTTGACTTGGTGCTTTGTTAGCCACGACTCCGCCCCCGCAAGCGCGCGAGATCTTCACCTCAAATGCGCAGCCAAGTCTGAACCAGTTTTACCTTTTGTGTCTGAATCAAGGAGCCGTAACGCAGGTGAAAGTCCAAAGCCGATGGCAGCTGAAAAGCACGACAACCCTGGGTTCATTGTTCCAATCTTTAAACGCGCGTTCCGGTCCAACACACGCATACTTAAGATTTTTGGGCCAGCGCAGTGCTGGGTTCAAGAAAACTAAGCAGGACGTCTCTCGAATTGCCCAGTGTCGTTCGAGCACCATGTCTGACCCTTGACCGATTATCGCGAACTTAAACTTGGGATACTTTTCCAGGCTAAACTTGGGCCAATGGGGTTTCAAAGCGGCTGGATTGGCTGGACATATCACGCTACCCAACAACAGCGTGTGTGCAGCAAATGGGTGAGGAAAACACATCAACTTTGCGTTTGCCTCCAGCGCGGCTCACGCTAGATGGTTGGCGCGCAATCACTATTCACACCGCTTCGAGGTCGAAGCCGCCCGCACAGAGTAAAGGGAAGCCATACACACACATACAGACATAGGCATCCATCCATGCATACAGACATACATACACGCAGACACGCATCCAGACATACATGGGAAAAGCGTGTCATTAGCACCCTACCGGCTCGGCAGCAACTTGCGCTCAGGGAGCCGGGAGGAAATGTTAACCGGGCTCACGTGTCTCAGAAGCGTGTCTCAGTCTGTCTCGGTCTGTCCGCTTCGGCCTGTTGGTCTCGGTTGGTTGGTCGGTCTATCTGTTTCGGTCTGTCTGTCTTGGTGTGTCTGTCTCGGTCTGTCTATCTCGATCTGTCAGTCTGTGTCTCGGTCGGGCAGGACACACGGATGAACACACGCGCGCACGATGTCAATAATGCAGTGTCCCCCGGGCCCCGGGTTGCACACGCGTCCGCGACGTTGATAATGCGATCTCCCCCGGCCAGCGTAACCGGCGTCGCCAACGGTTGGTCCAATCTTTATCAATTTTCAAAAAGCACTACAAAACACACGTTTCTAGGAGAAAAATGCATCCCCAAGCTAAAGCTTAGGGTTTAATCTAGCAGATTTTGCGGTTGCTGTTGATGCGAGCTTCTACAATGCACCAGCACCTTCGGCACGGGCGGATTTTTGATTTTTCCTAAAGACTGACCACCTTCAGAGAATGGTGCTTTGCGGACTAGAATGGTGCAGTGCTTGCCCTCCAACTTGCGGCGCTTATGAGTCTTCTTCTCCCACATTCTGATTCGGGATCTAATCTATCTCAAGGGCTTCGGCTCGCTGTAGGGTAGGCGGTAGGCATGCTAAGCGCGCGACCTGATAGTGCACCTGCGACATGTTTCGCCGACTGGTAGTTTGCTGCTAGCCACAACTTGCAGTACCAGACTGGCAAAGCAAACGCTAGCCTGTTTGGACGGTATGCAGCTTGACTGCTGCCAGCTGCGGCTTGAAGTACCAGACTGGCGAGGCAAACGCGCCTGCTTTGCTATTTCAGTTTCTGAAAACCTCTGCACTTGGTGCCATACGGCATCGCCTTTGCCGCGTGGTGCTTTGTCTGGTTTCCCTGAGAATCCTAGATTGAAAAAAACCAATCTGGATTGGTTGGGTTTGATTCGAACCAATCTGGATTGGTTCTCGACCAATCACCAATCTGGATTGGTTTTCCAACCAATCCAGGAACCAATCTGGGAACCAATCTGGGGATTGGTTATGTTATAACCAATCCTGGGGAACCAATCCAGGCCCAATCCAGGATTGGTTAACATAACCAATTCCCAGATGGTTCATGTGGTCTGAGAACCAATCCAGGACCAATCCCAGACCACCTGAACCCTGCTCAGCAGCTCACAAGAAGTGCATTATTCCATTGCAAAGTGTCCAATCTAGAATGCTTTGTTGCAAGCATACTTCAATGCTGTTTTGACACATTTCTGCAATGTTTCTCACTTTTTAGATGGCTCTCAGCAATATTGGCCCTTTGGCACATTTTTTCCTGGCAAGGATGACAAAATGTCCCCTTCTCAGTGAGCTCAAAAATGTGATCAATGGTGGGAGGTGCAGCAGCCTTTGCTTCTTCATACCAAATCCAATCGCCAGGCTTTGTTTCAAGCCTGAGGTTGACTTTGGGGGCTGGTTCTTCAGCAGGTGTGGCTTCTGCACCCTCTGTGTCACCAGGCTTTGTTTCAAGCCTAATGTCTTTGGGGGCAGGTTCTGCTTCTCCCTGCACTTGCACACCCAACCTGCTGAACTGTTCTTGGCATTCCTGCAAGAGCTCCTGGTGCTTTTCTGTGCATCATCAAACCCTGTGAGGAAATCCTTGCGCCACGTGACACTTCCATACTTGGGGCTTCTGTCCTTTTCCATTTGCCAGCTCCATTCATCTTCACTCCACCAATCCCAATCTCCACCCCACTGCCACCCATCATTCCAATCATTCCATGCACTACATTCATCCCAATGACCCCATGCATTGGAAGATTCCCATGCACTCCTACTCCAATTCCAATCATTCCATGAACCCCTGTGTGTCATGACAGGGTTGGCTTTGTTTCAAGCCAAGCAAAATTGCTAGTGCTTGGGCGGCCAAAACAGCTGCAGGTCACCCAGCAGGTTCTGCTTCCACATCATACTTTTTGGGTTCTATTTGTTTTGGATATAAGATCGAAAAAGACCCTTTTTTTTCAAACCCATATACTGTATGTCTTTTAATGCTTTTTCTCAAGCGTTAGACTGAGGCTTGGGTCAGCCTCAGATGCAATGCGCACAGGTATTTCTCCACCAAAGAATGGGAGAGCCTGACAGACCTTGCACCATGACTGCAAGAATGTTCCAAAATACTAATCTTTCCCACAAAGGACTCTGTAAAGTAGCACCAGCTTTTGGGAAAAAGTTGGAAATGCAGCCGATCCTCTTGAGGGTGTGGAAATTTTTGGCGCAGACACATGTAATGCTGCAAAGCACCTCTGATGGCACAGAAGATGGCTTCTGCTTCAGCAGCTGTAGTATGAATGTCAGCACCATCCAAGGCAACATAGTACTCAGACATTTTTACCAATGCAGCAGCAGCGTGCAAGAGCCAAATTTGGCTTTCAAGCCATTATGGGAAATCCTTTGCAAAGCCAAGGCCATAGCTGGGACAAGGTGCTTCAATTCCCCTGCGTGCCCCTTCAAAAAAAAGGGCCTTGCCAAGGCTTCAGAGGGTTGCAAAACATCCCCAGCTTCAGGTTGTTGAGCCTTTCCTCTACATGCAACTCTTTGTAACAATCCTTGATCAATGCACAAAAACCATCCAAGTGCTTTTGAGCAAGCTTAGAATCTGAAGTGATGTCTTCCCCAAGACCACCACAATAGACCAAGCCACGCAATGTGCTGCCACACAGCCTTGCAACATAACCAAGGTCAATGGTGTGGAGGCCATCAAACAAGATTCTGTATGCTGCTGTGCACCCTGCAACATCATTTAACAAAGGATGCCTTGAGGCTGGATTAGCAGTGTGTTGCTCCAGAGTGTACAATTCCCATCCAGGCTGCGCAGAAAAGTCATATATGAAATTGGTTGGGCTGGATCTGGAGCCATTGCACAAAGGACAGAAGGCATGTGTATTCCAATGTCGAAATTTCAAATTGTTTGCAAAATAATCCAGATCACCCAAGTAGTTCCACATGATGAACCTGACCTTCCTGTTGGGCACCAGGCTTTGGCCTGCAAGCTTTGCCAGTGGCCCAGCCACTTTCTTACCATTTTGATCATGTTCTGGCCATGTGCCAGACCAAAGAGCATTCAATGACCAACACATAGCTTTGTAGATTGAATCCCAAGTCTTGGGGGGCAGTTGCACTTTTAGGAAAGCTGGCAATCAAAAATGCTTTGTCAAGTGCCGTCAAATCATGTTCTTGGTTTTGGCTTTCTTCCAAGCCATTGGTCCCCAAGATGCTTCCCCAACTGAAAGTCAACAGGCTGTCATTGGAGCTGTATTCAGCACCATCTCATGCAACCAGCGAGGGACGATCTCAGCACCCTCTTCTTTCAATGCTTCACAAATAGGTGAGCCACACAGTCTTGGATCATCAGGCTTTATTCCAAGCCAAAAAGATTTGCTCTTGGAAAAGCCAAAGATGTTTTCCATGTGCTGGGAATAGTGCAATGCCAGCTTGCCAACCAAGCAATGAGGAGGAACCCACGCCATGCTGGCTTCCACTTCTGGGGGGTTAGCCTTGCTGTCCAAAGCTTGCACCTTTAAAAGAGAAGACTCCAGCTTCATCTCTTTGCAAGCTATGGCAATTGGCTTTGTGGGCACCCCAAGTGCCCAAAGAAGCCAGCCTCACCAAGGAATGGGAACCCAGTCCATCCTCAATGGCACAAGCAGCCAAATGCTGCAAGGCCTGTGCTGAAAGAAGACCAAGCCCCCAAAGCTTGGTAAGTGCATTGCCAAGTGAGCTCTCTTCTTTTTTGTGTTTTTAATGTTGTCAGCCCTGAGCATTTCCAATTTTTGTTTGATACCTGGCATGGCCAGCTGTGTTTCAAGCTGTTTCTACCCTTGATCCTGAAGAAAAGTTGCTGGGCATTGCTTTCAACTAAGTATGACAACATGTTGAGGTGAGATTCCAACCATTGGTCAAAACTACAATGCTCTCTTTCAAGCATTTCATGCTATATTTCAAGCATGGTTCTTCTTGTGCTGTTTCAAAACTGCAGCAGTGCTGCCCAAAATCTTCTTCACATTCTCTAGGTCCATCTCTGGCTAGACCATGGCTTCCTCCACATTGTGCTGGGCATCCAAAAGTTCTTTCAACAGTGAGGTTGCTTAACCTTTGGCATCAGCAGCCTTCAGCACCCTCACTTCTTTCAAAACTAAGGTTGCCATTTTTGAGAGATTCTTTTTTTGCTAAGGCTTTGTCACAAGCCTCACTGCAAGCATCAATTTGTTCTTCATACTTTTGGATTTTCTGTGCTTTTGCCTGCTCTTGTTTTTTGGCTTTTTCCTGTTCCAGGGCAAGCTTCTTGTCCTGTGCTT